CCCCAAAACCCCAAAACCCCAAAACCCCAAAACCCCGAGGATAACGTATAGAGTGGCGTCATTGTTGTTTAATATAGGAATGGGAATGATATATAAGGAAATTTAAATAAGATTTTTTGTTTTACTATAGGATCATTTGCTTCCAGTAGTTTGGAGGCCACAGGCTACCTTGAATGAATCATAAATCCACCATTGGAGTCCGGTAAGGGTACCAACCATAACGATTCTGGCACCAAGACCATTCCATAGACCCTTGAATCCAATCTCTGAATAGATCTATTTGACTTGTTGTCCAACTGGATCGGAGGATGACTTCTTGTTAAGAATAGAAACCATAACGTCAGCGGGGTGAGAAACAAGAGCGCAGAAGATACCAGCCCAGTAACCAGAAAGGAAGGTGATCATAAGTTGGAAGTTCTTTGAATAAGTGTCCTTTGGAGCAGTGAAAATGTATTTGTAGAAAGCCTTGACGGTGTTTTCGAAGGCAGCGAACTTTACCATAGTGTATGGTACTTGTCTCATCCAAAGTGGACCAAGACCTTTGTAGAAACCGTTAACACCTTCGTTTGCTTTAATGGTGCTGAATCCACTTGCAAGGTTTCTTGGGAAGGCACCCTTGTCTGATGTTTGCATTCTAACCTTAACTGCTTCCCATGGAGCGAGGAGGCAATCAGCGATGACCTCAGCACAAGCAGATGAAAGTAAGAATCCAATAGTTTGATACTTGGCAGCGCTAGCGCCGAAAGCACCCTTATAAACATCCTTGAACATTTCATAGAAACCGAACTTTCCGAAACCTTGGGCGGAGTATCCAATAAGAGTTGGAGCCCAGCCGACGGTCAGACCTCTGAATCCTTCAGTTCTGTAAATAGTGCTGAAACCATCACCAACACTCTTGTAAAGAGTTGGGTTGACTTATTTTCTGCATTTAATGATATCAAGTGGGCAGACAAGAGTGTGAGTAAGACCGCAAGAGAGGATTCCTCCAACCATACACTTAGAGTAATAGCTTAAATCGTGGACGTCGCTTCCGGGCATCTTTGCTAATTGTGGATTAAATAAATACCTAATAATTAAGTAATAAATCTTAGTTTATTTTCAATATAAGTAAATAGATTAATAAAGCCTTGGACATAGACGCTAGTATTTCATTTCTAGTCTCATGGGGTTTTGGGGTTTTGGGGTTTTGGGGTTTTGGGG